CAAGATGATTCATCTCGCCATCATTCAAGCACGCACCTGCGTCATGACGATGTACGATTGTACGCGGCAGTCGAACACAATCGCGCGGAGTCGACTAGTTGTTCAAAGACCAAAAAAGGAACAAAAGGGGGTACGGAGGGGGAAGGGACAAAAAAATATATGGTGAGGATGGATACCACGGACCAAGAGGCGGGTTGGATTTCGCACACTTGGGGAGCTTTGAACGCTGTTGCACCCATTGCCAAAGGACATGTTTTGTCCGAAAATGGCGACGTGCAGGTTCAGCAGGTCATCGCAGAGGAAACCTTCAGAAGGTTGGGCGTGGTTGTATCCCCAGCATCAAGGCTCTCGGCATTGAAGTAGCGTCATTGTGGCGGCCAGTGGAGACCTGAGCATAAGCCGTATCATCTTCCTTCTGCTATTCTCCCCATCGTTGTGCGTTTTCAGGTCATGTACGGAGTATGTAAGTCGCAAATTTGGGGGCTCAAGGATTCTCATGAGGTAGCCATGCTGTCTGCTACACTTGGACTCTTATGAACTGTGGCAGCTCCTCCGCGCATCGAGATGCCATTGGGAATAAAGTCGCGGGATCGGATTTGGAGTCACTACATGTCCATCCACACACATTATCACCGAGTACTGGATAGGTCATGTCGCCAAGTTCCTTAGGGTCGGCTCGGCTTTTGGCCACAGCTGTCAAGACAACTCCCTTCTGACTGTACAGTTGTAATACAGGAAACTGTGCTGTGTGACCAGCATAGGTTTTCGTTTTTTTTTTTTCGGCAAACAGGCGTTCCTGCAGGTGCGCAGCCATGGAGCAACGTCCTACAGCACACAGCACAATGCAATGCAGACATTCTGCTTCTGCCGGTGAGCTACGTTGGCTGCCAGTCGGGCTGCTTTCGCAGGCCAGCACGAAGCTCCGCGAGCTGTGGCGTCTTTTCTGTGAGGGCCGAGCGGCTCCGGTGAAGTCCCAAGGCCAGAATCCATCATGTTTCTGATAGAAAATGGGGTCATACAGTACCTCTTGGCTTACTGCAAAGTACTCCGAATTCGGCTGGCAGGCACACTGACACGATGAGCCCAAAGGTCATGATATAGTTGGCCACTGGCGAGATCATCAGACCTCTCCCCTCGTTCGAAGCACAGGGAGCGCAACCGGCGAAGTTGTACATGCAATAGGACCAGGTGATTACGCTCCAAGGATCCCTGGTAGCACTTGTCTCTTGTCGCCTGCATGGGCTGGGCACCAGGAGGAGGCGCGCCGAGCGCGTATATGGGACCGCAGTCGAGGGCAGTCGAAGGGCAGTCGAAGGGCAGTCTAAGAACTACTGGCTCGGCAACCAAGGGGGCGGAACAACAGACCAAGTCTGATATCAGACGTAGGCCAAGGGGATTTGGCAACAGGGCAAGTGTTGTAGAGCACACGACCACTGCCATTATGCAATCAAGTTGAGGGCGCGTTGAGTCAACCCGATCGCCAGCTCTTCCTGTCGAAAACTGATTCAGAAGCGAAGCGAGATTTCGACGGCGCGTGACAGAAATGGCGGGAAAAAAGCAAATCCGCATCGACAACGTCGAATAAGGCTCAGACACAATACCATGCGTGACACAAATTCCAGTCACCACCAAGAAGCTTTTTTTTTCTTTTAACCCTGGAGATTAACGCGAGGCGAGGGCGAAAGGAGATTCACCTGGGAGGCTTACGCGACGTGACGTGAGAGTCAAGGAAGGGATGGATATCTAAGATGACGCCTCGTTGGTAGCGGCTGGGCTTGGACGATTGTATGACAGCATTGTGAGACTGCACCGCGGTTATCTGCATCCGAAGCGAACCGATCTGATTCAGAGGCAAGGGAGATAGATGGCTTGTGCCGGGTGGATTTTCGGCGAACGGTTCGCGGTTCTGAGTGAGACCTTTTGTGGACTTTGATCCATTTTGGAAGCTCTCTGACTGGTCCGACGCGTTGTTTGTTACGGCGCGGACTCAAGGTAAACCTGGTGCCGCGACAAAGGAATTGTTCTATGCAAATGCTACGGAATGCCGCGTTCCTGGCTAGTTGAAGTTTAATCCTCCTAGTATCCCCAGTCAAAAATGACCACTCCCTCGCCTCCCTCGAGGTGGATGCCTTCATCAAAGGCCCATTTCTATAGGCCCCCCCCCCCCCCCCCC